AAATCCCCTCTGTCTCCCTGTTAATCCCTCCCATCTCCTTCTCTCTCTCATCTCATCTCGTTATCTCCTTTCTCTCTATCTCTCTCTCCCTTATGAGCAGAGCAAGACTACTGCCACTCCTTTCTTTCTCTCGATCTTCCACCTTCTCTCTCCTCCCTGTTAATCTCTCCCCTCTCTCTCCTTTTTTTCTCTCTCCTACTAAATTCTCTTTTTCTCTGCTGTCCTCACCTCTCACTCCCACCTTTTCCCTCGAGCCTGTGGCTTGGAGCTGCAGGCCATGGTATCCCTCTCTTTCTCTCTCCTCTTTTTCTCTCTTATAATCTTTCTATCTCCTCTCACGGGAGAGCTGCAAGCTGTTGCCCTTGCTTTTTCTCTCACCTTTTCTTCATCTCTCCTCTCTCAATTTTGATCTCTCCTCTCTCTCTTTCACTCTCTCCTCTCTCTTCTCTCTCTCTCCCCCTCTCTCTCGTAGACAGCAGCAGGGCTACTGCCCCCAGTCTCTTTCTCTCTCTTTCTCTTATCTCTCTCTCTAAACCACACCTTCTCTCTCACCGGCCAATCTCCCTCTCTCTCTCTCATGGGTAGCAGTAGGGCTGCTGCCCTCTTTTTTCTCTCTCATTCTTCTCTCTCTCACTCCCACTTTCATTCTCCTTTCTCTTTCTCTCACCTGGGCATGCGGCCCACCCTCTCTCTATCTTATAGGCAGCAACAGGGCTGCTGCCCTCTTTTCTCTCTCATTCTTCTCTCTCAAAAGCTCACTCTCTTTTTCTCTCCAAATCTCACCTACTCTCTCACACTTAAATATCTCTCTCCCTCATCTTTCACTCTCTCTCATCGTAGTAAAAATCTCTCATGCCCTATTTTTCTCTCTACCACACACTCATCTTCTCCCTCTTTCTCTCTTATATCTCTTTCTCTCTCACGTAAATCTCTCCCTCTCCCTCGTGCTACATTTGTCTCCCTCATTCTCTCTCAAATCTCTCTCTCTCTCTCTCTCTCTCTCTCATGCAAACCATTCTATTTTCTCTCTTCTCCCTCAATCCTCCCACTCTCTCGCATGCTCCCCTCTTCCCCCATTGGCCCATTGACTCCTCCTTTCACTCTCCCACTCCCTTAGTCACATTTCATCACACACTCACTCTCTCCATACTCATTTTCTCACTCTCTCAATCTTCTCACCCTTCTTTTCTTCCTCCTCTCTATATTTTCGGTGCGTCAAACAACTATGGGACCACCACTATTGGATCTGGTATGGTGCCTATGAGTCAAGTTTCGTCTTAATCTGACATTTCAAGATAAAGTTATGGATAAAACATTAAAAAGGGATAGGCCGCACGCTATTCCCATGCGGCCTCCCTGCACCAATCTCCATTAAAGGAGGCTGGTGTGCACATTCCTGAGCATCAACTTCAAAGACTCGTATCTCACTCGTCCTAAGTCGGATCGCTCTCAAATTTGATAAGCGTGTTCGTCTTGCCAAAATGAGAGTTTTGATATGTGGACCGACCAGTGATGATACCTGAGTAGGGAGAAAAATTAGAGAGAATTGATGATTCGTGAACATAGTTGCAGAAAATTCAACAGCAACACACCTCGCTCGAGTGGCCATATCACGACACTCGCATACCCGATCAATGTGAAACCATTTGCATTATGTACGTAAGGTCCGAGGCTATCTCTAATTTGAACCCCGAGTATGATGAATAGTTGGATTTGGCACACAAAGGTATCAAAGTTGCTCTAGATTTCGACCGTTGGATTTCAAGATCCGGTAAAAAACCCTACACGATGAAATCTTCGTCCAGACACGAAATCGAGCTGCTTTCATTGCAATGTGATCGTGACGACATGCTCAGTGCAATTCAGTGAAGTAATCAAATAAAAACATCAAGGAACAAGCACACTATTGATCGGAAGTTTTCAAGATCTATGTAAATTTCGAGTCGCATGATCGTGGCCTAAAAACATGATCTATGGCTCGAAGTTGGTATTAAATCGATCGTCATGCCGAGCTCAAAAAGAAAGCAATCATCTTTAGACTAAACAGACGTCAGAGCAACCCCGAATCATCCATGGAAGATCACATAAGTTCTAGGGTAGCAGCATGGAATATTTTGAAATTTCACACATTGTTGAGTAGAGGAAAAACAATCCTTTTGCACCCATTTTTAGAATTTATTTTAATTCAATTAAATTGTAGTTATCATTAATTTAGGTAGTTTTTTGGCTTACACCCATGTTTGGGCCCAATTCTATAAGTACATGCTAAACACAATTGTCAAAGGACCCTTGATTTTTCAATATTAATCAATAAAATTTGAAAGTTTTCACGTTCAAATTGTGGGTACATCTTGGAGAGAGAGAAAGGAGAGAGAAGAAAAGGTTTGGTACCCTTTGATGAAGTTAATTTTCTTTCTCTCTCTTTTTCTCCTCTCATCTTTCTCTTTCTCTATCCTCTTCTCGTCTATCTCTTTCTCTCTCTTTGTCTCTATCTTTCTCTTTCTCTCTGCTCACGTCTATATATCTCTTTCCTTTTTCTTCTTTGATCTTCTTTATCCACTTTCATTCTCTCTCGTCTATCTTTCCTTTCTTTCTTCTTCACTTTCCTTCTCTCTCTTGTCTTTCCTGTCTTTCTTCACTTTCTTTCTCTCTCCTTTTTCTTTCTCTTACCTCTCTCTATTCATGCATGGTGGAGCCTGTCGCTTCGCATGATGTATTCTTATTTGTAGGACCTAAACAGTGAGCCAGGCCTTAACCCAAGTGGCGGGCCGGGGCCTCTGTCAAAGTTCATCTTATTCCCCTGTGTCATGGACGGCGGAAGCTCATCGTCATCCATATTTTCTCTCTCTTCCAACTCTTGTGTCATGGACGGCGGAAGCTCATTGTCGTTCATGTTTTCTCTCTCTTATTCCCCATGTCATGGATAATGGAAGCTCATCATCGTCCATATTTTCTCTCTCTTTCAATTCTTGTGTCATAGACGATGGAAGCTCATCACCGTTCATATTTTCTCTCTCTTATTTCCCTGTGTCATGGATAGCAGAAGCTCATCACCGTCCAAGTTTTCTCTCTCTTTTAATTCTTGTGTTATGGATGATGGACGCTTATCGTCATCCATATTTTCTCTTTCCTCTTCTCTTATTTGTCATGGACGGTGGAAGTTCATCGTCATCCATATTTTCTCTCTTTTCACTTCTCTATCATAGACAGTGGAAGCTCATTGGCATCCATGTCTTCTCTCTAGTCTGATTCCTCTATCATGGATGGAGGAAGCTCATCGTCGTCCATTTTTTTTCTCCCTTCACTTCTCGTGATGTACTGCGGATGCTCATCGCCATCCATGTCTTCTCTCTCTTCTCTCCTTCATCATGGACGACAGATGCTCATTGTCGTCCATGTCCTCTCTCTCTTCTCAATCCTCTGTCATAGACGACAGAAGTTCATTGCCGCCCATGTTCCCCTCTCTCTTTTCTTCCCCTTTCTTCTTTCTTCTTCCTCCTTTCCTCTTCTTTCTTACTGTTCCTTTCTTCTTCTTTTCCTCTCTCTCTCTATCCCTTTTTTCTCTCACATGCACAACCTCGGTACTACTGTGCATGCCTTTCCCTCTCTCTTTCTTTTCTCTCTTCTCTTCTTTCTCTCTCGTTTGATCAAGGGAGGCTAACTCAAGCACTACCATAGTAGTCTCATCGTCTAACAGTATTGTCGTTGTGTGGTTTTAGTTACCGTGCCCATCTTATTGCTAGGCCGGTCGATGATCCTTCTGTCGTGTAGGAGTCTTACTGTTGTGCCGGTCTAGTTACCGTTCCTGTCTTGCTAGTACGACAAGTCAATCACTTTCCAGTCTAGCTATTGTGTTAGTCTAGCCACCTAGTCAAATTCTTATCTTCGCCATTCTTCTATTCTATCTCTTTCTTCTTCTTTCATCTATTCCCTTCTCATATTTCTTCTTTCGAATGTGCATGACTATGTGCATTCGCCTAAAAACAAGGAGGGGTCACTTGACCCACTTGTCCTGTAAATTAACCATGCGTGTGTGATTGCAGAAACAAGAGAGTACAAGCCAAGGGAGGCGATTTCGAACCAGTTTTATGACTGGGGGGCTTTCTTCGTGATCTAAGAGGGTGCCCACGCGAGCCAACCTGAGTAAGTCCCGAACCCACCTTAAATTCTTCTCTTATCGGTTGGTATACCTACCCTCGCTCCTGAGCGAGGTTCTTGAGAGAGCGATCTTAAAGTCTCGGGTTCCCCCAAGACCCGAGACGCGTGCCATTAGATCATCTGGATCTGGAGGGCGAGATCGAGGCACCTAACCACACATGTGTGTGTACTCACCTGATGATAAGCTGGGGGTTTTCTGAACTTGTGTGTGATCTTGCAAGAAGGAAGAAAGGAGGTCAAGGGAGTCGAGTTCGAACCAGTCTCAGGCTTGGGGGGCTTTCTTCGTGATCTAAGATGACGCATATACGAGCAGCCCGAGTGTGTCATGGACCCATCGTGAGGTAAGTCTTGCCTCATGACCTTAATTCCTTTCTCACTAGTTGGTACCTTGCTTACATAGTGCACGCGTATCCCCTATGAGTCGAGGTTTCCGAGAGAACGATCTCAGGACCCTAGCCACCACACGTCCAGATCTTCGTAGTTAGGGTCTTCACCTCGAGACCCAAGGTCAGATCGAGGCACCCAACCAATAGCTAAGTACACGACGCCTCCTCTAGCCAAAAGATGATGAGCCCGAAGGGCTGAAATAAAGGGTATACAGGAAGCATCTTTGAAACCAACAAAGTGTAACTCTGACTGGTTGGGTGTCTAAAGGTCACATTTTTATTATAACAGTCAAGGGTGACATGGTGCATGGACAACCAGTTCATGACCAAAATAACATCAAAGTCCTGAATATCTGAGACTATCAAGTCTATAGGCAGGACACACCCCTCAAGTAAAACCCCACACTGTTTGTACACAGTATCAATCACCATAAAGTTCCCCATAGGCGTGCACACTTATAAAGTATAGTCAAGAGGTGAAGGTTCAACATTTAGATGACATGCAAAATGAGGTGCAACAAAAGCATGAGAAGAACCAAGGTTTATCAGAATTCTAGCTTCTTTATCACAAACAAAGAGTATACCTCGGATTACTAAGGTAAAAGCCTTAGCCTCTTGCTCCATGCGTGCGAAAACCCGACCCTGAGTCTTCAGTTTGTTCTTCGGCTTCATCATAGGGCGGGCCTTTATCATGTGGTCAGGATTGCCACACCCGAAACACGCTCTTGTGTTCTTGTAGCATTCAACTATAGAGTGGTTGCGCATCCCACAATACGAGCATGTCGGGCGTTGGTTCTCCCTCACATCACTCAGGAAAGTCTTATGGGTCTTCACATTGCCCTGCTTAGTCTTTCCCCTAAAGTCTCTCTTTGGCGGTGGTCGAGCCTTCCTCCCAAAATTTTCAGATGGTGGGTGCCTTACTTTCCCTTCCTTCCTTAGCTGGTGCTTCTCACAATCCTTCTCGATCTTCATTGCTAGGTCCATCAATGGAGAGAACACCTTAAGATTGGCTGATATCACTCTCCCCCAGATATTTGGTCTGAGGCCCCTCTCAAATTTTCTCGCCTTGCGAGCCTCTGTGTTGATAATATGCGGCGCATACCAAAAAAGTTCCTCAAACTTGGCTATGCACTGCTCTATCGACATCGTCCCTTGTTGCAGCTGGATGAATTCTACTTCCTTCCCTTCTTGGACGAAGTTGGGGAAGTACTTCTTATCAAATTCCACAAGGAAATTCTCCCATGTGGCCGTAGTCCCTGACATCATCTTGGACTGCATTACTGAATTTCACCAATGCTCGACATCCCCTTCTAGCATGAAGGCACCCAATCTTACTTTTTGCTCATCAAAGCATTGTAAGACCTCAAAGATCTTCTCTACTTGCCTCCTCCATCTAGTAGCCTTTTCTGCCCCTCCTTGCCTTGAGAATGCTGGTGGTACATATCTCTTAAACCTTTCAACTATTCCATCATCTACATGACCTGGGGCAAGAACAACCAGGGCTGGCATACAATCCTTCATGACTCGAGTCATGGCCCCAGCATCATAAAGAATTCCCCGAAAACCTTGGTACTCCCATTAATCGCACTAGAATTGTGGTACTCCCATTAATCGCACTAGAATTGTTAGCGCGAGCCCTCGACATCTTAACTTAAAACAGGAACACCCAGACGCTAGTCACCCAATGGGCTAATCTAAGACTCTAAGCCAAGAATCCTTGTCACGACCCCGCCCCCTGACCCCTCTGGAGGGCAATAGAGTGCGAGATCATGACCGGAGGTCGCGTACGTTACTCAGGTGGGAGTGGCATCAACACATATTAAAAGTGAAGAAATCAAGCAAACCACGATAAGAAGAAAAAACTCATCTATCAAGCGGTAGAAACTGAATAAATTTAAACCATTAACTTCTTTCATCTACAAAGTCTTTACAATAAGGTTTGAGGCTTACAAGCTTAACATTCATCTCAAAATATTACATCAAAAAGAATAATACGTGGGAATGCCACCCGGCGCCTACAATGCCAAGAAGAAAAATCCTAAATCAGTTTGAACTATGAACAATTGCTATCATTGGTTCGCTGCTCGCCACACGCAATCGGGCACTAATTCTCCACACAGATGAAATAAATGGAGTGAGCAATAGGCTCAGTAAGTAGATCACTACCCTTACATACCTGACTATTAGTAAATACGTAATAACATGTCCATGGTTTGTCAGAAATCACATTTGTCTCATAGAGTATGGTCACACATCAGAGTATATATGAATGCTGTATAACGATGGTAAGATTCAATCTTTATAGTACAGATACAATCAGATGTTCACATAGAATACCGAATTAAAATAAATAGAACAGACGAATCTAGATAAGCAGAACAAAACAAATTACTCTCGAAGTAGAAGTCACATTGATCAGGTCAAGCTAACCCTGAAACTTGGGACTTCTACCATCATTCAGCAGGGGGGATAATGACAAGTGGAGGTCCCACTTCGTAATATCATTACTCACGCACACATCCCCAGCTCGCTTTGGGGTCTTTTATAGGCTGAGGCCTTGTAAGCTCTTATGCCCTTAGGTGAGAGGGCGTTACACTACCAATGGAGGACCCAATGCGTAGTGCCCACGACAATTTGGGGGGCAGTACTCTCCCAGTTAATTACAGTTACATCTCGAATCCAATCCTATCATAGGAGTCGAGGTACAGTATACCTCACTACCAATGGAGGGCCCATTGCATAGCAGTCAGATATCAATATTCATCTAACAAAAACAAAAGGTCTACTACCAATGGAGGACCCATTGCGTAGCAGTCAGATATCAGTATTCATATAAAAGAAATAGAAGGTCTATTACCAATGCAGGACCCATTGCGTAGCAGTCAGATATCAGTATTCATATAACAGAAACAAAAGGTCTACTATTAATAGAGGACCCATTGCGTAGCAGTCAGATATCAATATTCATATAACAGAAATAGAAAGTATACTACCAATGGAAGACCCATTGCATAGCAGCAGATATCAATATTCACATAACAGAAATAGAAGGTCCACTACCAATAGAAGACCCATTGAGTAGCAGTTAGATATCAGTACTCATATCACATTTTATAGTATTCATTATTCATATTACAGAAACCCCGTATCACGAACACAAGGTGGCGGTATTGGTATCGCATGATAACATTATCAGAGTCACAAAACCTCGATGTCGGTGTCACAAAATAACAGTAATAGTGTCCATCAGTGTTACGGCTGCAATTTCAAGTCGTGACATCTAGTTATAAATAGGGTCATAACTTTCAATTCACTTAGAATTTAAAGAAAGTTCCAAAATCAATTTTGTGCAGACACAACCATATTTCAAATAGGGTATTTGAAAGCAATTGAACCTTGTTTGGCCTCTCAAAAGTATAAAATAATAGAGACATTAAACTTGAAATCTGTTGTGCAGTGAAGGCAGTGACATGTTTTTAAATCGTAATCCATAACTAGAAATCAAAATGAAATTTCAAAAAAGTGGCACTTACAACCCATGCAGCTGGGCAAGTGGCGAACACTAACCATGCATGGCAATGCTATAGCCGGCATTGCACAGCCAGCGCTAAGTGCATGGCGATACCCCTTGCTCACTCGTGGCTTTATGTTCTTGCTGTCGCAAGTACACTGTCGTGCTCTTTTCTTTCGCCCCGCGCTTACTTCCGTAGCTTGCTTACTTCCGCTGCGCAAATACTTCCATCGTGCGCTTACTTCTGGCACGCGCTTACCTCCGCCGCACGCATACTTCCGCCGCACGCATACTTCTGCCTCACGCTTACTTCTGCCACAGTCTTACTTCCGTCGCGCGCTTACTTCTGTCGTGCGCTTACTTTCGTTGTGCGCTTGCTTCCGTCCCGTGCTTGCTTCCACAGTGTGCTTACTTCTGTAGTGCGCTTACTTCTACCGCTAACTTACTTCTGTCGCGCGCTTACTTCTTCTGTGAGCTTACTTCCATCACGCGCTTACTTCTGTAACACTCTTACTTCCACTGTGCACTTACTTCTGCCGCACGCTTTTTTTCATCGTGCAGTTACTTCTGCTGCGTGCTTCCTTCCACCGTGCACTTACTTTCGAAAAATTCTGGGTCCTTCAATCCTATCCTGGCTACTCTGATACTATAATTACTTGTCATGACCCCGTTCCCTACCATCCCTGTGAGACCCGCAAAGGGCTAGGCTCGAGCCCGTCTGAGGACAATAGGGTGTGGGGTCACGACCACAAGTAGCGAGTGCCACTCGAGCTGGAGTCTCACAATACTTTGAAAAGAAGGAATTTTCAGTATCAAAGCCAACCACAAAGGAAATGAAAAAACAAAACAAAATTCACGTAACCATAGTCTGCTGGACAAAAAAGTTGGGGAGGTGTGTTTAAGGTCCACCAAGACATGGGCTATAGTTTAGGGTCATATAGTTTGGACCAATGCCGTATTGTTTAAGGTCTTTGGCTTGGACCATTGGTCTCATGACTCATCATGCACAGAATTAGGCCCCAAGTTTAACTGCCCATTTTTTATGAACCCTTGGATGATGTTTTTAGTAGCATGACAATCTTTGGTCATATGACCAAGCATTCAATGGTATTGTCAATAATTGGGCTCATCAACTCTTTCGACTTCCTCTGGCCTTTTTGGGGCGGGTAGCTAGATCATTCCCTTGAAGATGAGAGCTCCAAGTAACCAGGGACCATGCCTTCATTAAAGGAATAACTCTTGGCTTGTTTTGGCACAAAGAGTGCATGGTATCGGGCATCGTTGAAGGGCTCAAACATTTTGTCATGGTTCTTATACAAGTCTTCTATTCGCACATGCTTTTTCAATCATTTTAGCAAATGTGGAGGGGCACGTTGCACTGACATATATTGACAATTCTTGGCGCATTCTTTCTACATAGTATTCCACTTCTTGAAGCTCGTCCACTGGATTGGCCAGATTGTGCCACCTTCTGATGTACTCGATCACTAGCTCTTGTGGCTCCTGCGGCTCTTGCTTTACATCAAGAAGTACATAAAGTTCCTCATTCCTTTCTATGTCATAGAAGCGTTTGAGGAATTATTCTTGCATTTAATCCCATGATGAAAATTGAATTGGGTCCTAGCTGAGATTACCATTTGAGGCCGGCTCTCGTAGGGGTTCTCACAAATTGTCAGAGCAGTAGATGTTCATTGTTCATCGTTCATCGTATCGCCACAAGAAAAAACAAAGTATAGGTTGTTGTGGCAAGCATGTGCCATCATATTTGGGGAAATAAGGAATTTGATAGCTCGGAGGGAATGGAGTTTGGTCAACATAAGCTGGGTATGGATTTTGTTAGTGACTTGGTTGTTCCATGCCTGAAACATTATACCTAACTAGTGCTTGTGTCACTATGTTCTTCAAATTCTTCATTCTGAGTCAAGGGAGGATGAACTGGGAATGAGGTAGGTGTGGGTGGGAGCAGCTCTTCTTTTGATGGCATCATTTCAATGGGCTAACATGGTGGTTGGGAGGTTTGGCATGCCGCGGGAGTACGCGCGACCTCATGGGACACCAACACCTCTTCATGCATGATTTTCATCATTTCTTCTTTGGATTCATCTCGGCTTACAACTACCTTAATGTGGCCTTAAGCTGCGCAATCTCGTCTCCATAGGTTTTTAGTGTTTTATTGATCACCATGGAATTAACAACTAATCTTGGAGTTTCTTCTTCCCTTGAAGGGTCAAGTTTCTTCTCAATGGGGAGCAAAGGATAATGGAGGCTTTGGGGCTGATTACCTCGAAAGCTTCTTCTTCATTTAGGGCGATACACTCCAATATAGTTTTCTCACCACATGCCTCTTGTTCGATGGAGTTTTCGATCATGGGTTCAACTGTTGATTCAACTGCATTATTGATGATGGTTATTCGGCTTTCCCTTGAGTCTGCTTCACTTCTCAAAGCATAGATATCCGCCTCATTGAATGAGAATGTGAAACTCTCATAGGACGATGAATGCACATTATTATCATCGAGATAGCATATGAAGCTTTCGAGATATGGAGAGAGAATGCCATTGATTTCATAAGGAATCATGGCATTTTCAGGGCATGGAAAAACCACTTTAATGAGGTTACCAGTAGAGGGAATGTGCTTCATCTCATTCATTATTAGGGGGTGGGTTTCCTTGAATGAGAGTGACGAGCTCTCCTCAGAGAATGGGGTGATTGGATGTATGGGGGTGAGGGAGGTCGGATCAGCAGTATCGAGCTCCACACCCTCAA